TCTCACTAGTGATACTTTTTTTCTGTCGGGTTCTTTCAAGATATGCCTCACCATAACTTTCTACACTTTGTAGCTGTTGTAGCATACATACGGACGATAACGGGTATGTTCCCATTCGCATAAATACAGTGGTAAATACTGTATGTTGGTCTCCAGTTGGATCCCCCGACGAGGCTATGTCTAAAGGCAGAATCTCTTCTCGGGAAATAGCTACCCGATCCCGGTTTATACGGGGTCTGCGGGGAGTTTTTGACCTACACCGTTTTATACGCGGTCTACGGAGAATATTTGGCCGCGCCTACGGGCTCGGTCACCCCACATAAAAGTTAGCCTTGTGCCACATCTGACTGCGTGGGGCGGTCGCTAGTTATCCCGCAATTAGATATTCATTGTGAAATTCACTTGACTTACTTCTAGCAGTTGACTATTTCTTCTACGCGCCGCTGGCGAATCTTATATGTGTTTTTCGTGTCCTAAGTATTATCGTTTATTACCAACCTTCGTGTGATTATTCTATTCAGTAACCTTAACTAGATTGCCATAGTAGCTATAAATAATATTGGATCTCTTAATACCTCTCCCTATCCTTTTTCTGCCATACATTTACACAAGCTCATTATGTAGATTACTCCTTAATTTCCTCTTCCATTGTACCTTCAATATATCCTGTAAGTGTCAAAATTTCCAAGACTTCATTTTTCTTTGTGCTTCCTAAAATTTTCGTGTCTTATTTTAAGTATAAGCTTCCTTTTGGTTTTCATTTTCCTTAAAAACTTCCCCGTTGATCTCATTTTCCATCAATGGTATCTTCAGCATCCCAAATGTGGAAACACATCTGTGTCTCCTCTACATCTGGGTGGAAACTGTCTTGCATTTACTACCAAAACATTTTCCTGTGTTAGTCATGAATAATTTCTGATACCTAATGCCTTGTTTAGTTATTGTAAGGAATATTTCTTTATCCCAATGCGCCATAGACTTACAATGTTTCGCTCTTTCTGGTCTTTGGCACCAGTGGCAGATTATCTCAGTAACCCTGAGTTTTCGCTTACCTGGTGATTGGTTCGACGTCGGCTACCTCTCAGTGACAAGGCCTTCATATGAGGCTTGGCGGATTTGCCAGACTGTGAACGGTGTCGCCTTGGTCTGGAAGAAACGGCTTCGCACGCCTTCTGCCATTGTCTCCGATTCCGCTCCTTATGGGACCATGTCGGCGGTTTGACGGCTCGTCTCGCTCCCGAAAAGCTTGTGCTCATTGATTGCGCATACGCGTGTGATAATATGTCGCCCCCATATTCTGGCGTGAAACGGACGGTGTTTCTGACACTGCTGGCTGCGGCCCGAGTGGTGATTTGGACGACGCGAGGAGGTGGGGCGGAGGTCTTGCGAGGCAATCGTCTTTCTCATCATGATCTGATCATATTCTTTAAGCATCAGCTCAAGATGAAGATTAGAACTGATAGAAAACGCTTGCATTCGACAGTCTTCAGCGAAAGGTGGGTGAAAGAGGCGATCTTGGTTTGTTTGAACGGGGCTAGCCTTGATTTTCTCTTCTATGTCAACCTACATCACATCGGGGTGGTTTACTGCGGAGTCCGCCCCTTGGTTAGGTTAGACAAGCTTTAGTGTACCTAGTTAATGTAAGTGTTGTTCCTGGCTTGTTCCCGGTTGCCTCTTTGTTTATGATTCAAGTCGAGATTCCCAACCTTCCCAGTTTTTTTTTGTCCTCTTTTTTCATCTCGACTGGGTTAGCTTTATATTTTCCCATATCCGTATTGTTTTTTATCGTTTTCCCAATCCTGTAGTGAGATAGCTTCTGAATTTTGTCCAATGGGCAGAATACAGTGGCCTCTCCATTTTGAGGGTTGGACGGGCCCTACTAGCATCAGTTATGTTTACTTTACTTTGTGTTGAGTTTAGTTTTTATTGGGTTCATCTCCCTCTCCACTCATTCTTCATTATTAGAATTTTATATATATATATATATATATATATATATATATTATCATTAACTTTTGAAGGCATGGGGCGCGTTTTGCAGGTTTCCCCTTGAGGGAATGCAATATTATGGTGGATGGAGGATTGATTGGTGACGGACGAGATCTTATGGTGAATGTGGAAACTGTAATGTATGAATGGGTCATGAATCAGATTAGCTAGGTATAAGATAGTTAGTCACGACCAGCCTCTACCCCTCCCCATTTTGGCCTTGTACCCTAATTGTATTTTATATACAATAAATATAACGCATATGAAAATGTGTTTTTTGGCAAGAAAGACAAATGCAAGAAATTCTAGAAAAGCGGATAATAAAGGACTAACCATCAATCGTATGTAGACAGACAACACAAGATGTGAACTACGAATTGGTGATATCACATTCAAGGCCGTACAAAGAAATTCCTGTTTTAACAGTTCTCAGCAATTTGTTTCATATAAATAGAGTCGTCATCGGCGACTGAATCTATATTTTCACAACATAAATATAATTTAAAGTGATATCCTAGACAGTCTATAAAATATAGTGTAAGAATTATCATGATATATAAAAGTAATTATGAAAATTCCGACTTGACTATCATTGAAATTTACCTTGATAAGTTGTACAAAAATGTTTATTCCTTTGCTTCACTTAAACTGCGAATATTGTGTTTTTACTCTATTAAGTATTATTTCCCTGATAATATTTTTAAACGATTTCTTTAATGTCGTTTTTATATATTTATTTTCTATTCTCATAATGCTATTTTTGTTTATATTTTCCTTCACTTTTGCGATGTATGCAAATAAAACGAAAGCTTCTTTCATAAATTGCTTCATTCCTGTCCTATTTCTTGGTCAACTTGATAAAGTATACAATCAAAGCCAACGAAAGTAAGTCTGAGACCAAATAAGAAAATTGGGCCACATATTCTTACCTATCATAAAAAAAAAAATAATAAAAAAATAAATTGTAAATATTCATAAAATTTTATATCACGTGAGTCTGTGGTGTTTTGTTAAATGTAGAATCTTGTAAAGAGGGGTGTGTTTATGTGGTGAATGAGTAAATTTGAATAAATGTAGATTAATTATAAATTGAATTACAATTGTGGCACAAGGCCTAAAGGAACGTGACTCTAATAACCTAAACCTAGCTAATCCAATTCACACCCCATTCATCCATTACAATTTACTTATTCTCCACAAGAACTTATTCATTGCCATTCAGGCCACCATGTATCACTTACTCACAAGGAGTCGACAAACACACCAATGCCATAATAATTTCATGATATAACAAATATCCTTTTTTTTTAAGTCTTATATATTATAAAAGTCTATATATAAAAATATATTAAAATTGAATTATATGAAATGAGAGGGGGGAATGAACCCAAAGACGAAATTAAAATATAATAGAACATTCAAACTGAAAATAAAATATTTTAGTAGGACCCGTCCTCCCAACAAAATAAGAGTGACCGCTGTATCCTGCCAATAAGCAGAATCAAGAAACTCGCTGAATAGAGGAGACGGAAAGATAAAATAAATTACGGAATGGAGAAAATACTGGTTGATCCAGTCGAGATGAAAAGGGGATAAAAACAAATTGGAGAGATTGGGAATCTTGACAAAGATCATAACAAAAGAAAATGCCTGAAGCAGGCCAGAAAAAATAATTGCTCACATAAAGTAGGTAAAGAATGGGAATCTAGTTTAAACAGGGAAGTGTTAGCCAGGAAACCACCCCGTTGCGTCAAAGGGGGGGGGGATTAAGAAATAAAATCAACCCTGGCCCCGTCCACAAGAACCAGCCTAGAGACATGCATCTACTTTTCGCTGAAATCTGGTGATAAGAAAAGATTTCTATCAGTTCTGATCTTCATCTTGAGCTGATATCCAAAGAATCCGACCAGATTCTGACAAGAATAGTGTTCGTATCCACAGTACTATTATTGCCACATACAACAGCATCAGAAACAACATCCGCAAATTGTTAATATGACTTTGGATATATTTACCAATCTACCCACAAGGTAAGATGTGACACTAGGCCGAGATTTAATGTGTGGGGGCATACGAGCCCGTAGGCTCGGCCAAAAAATTCCTGTATAAAACGGGGTCAGATAGCTGTTTTCCGAGACGAGATTATGCCCTTTGACATAGCCTCGTCTGGGGATCCTCTTCACCCGAAGGTAGAGAGTTTGACTTGCACAGCTGGAAAAGATTCCAGCTGGACACCGATCCAACCCCGGAAACCAGAGAGTTGGACATGACATACGGTTCAAATTATGATGTAGGGTTCTTTTTTAAAAAATAAGACATTGGGTTCAAATTATGACGTCGATTTCTTTTCAAAATATGACGTTGGGTTCATATTATGACTTTGTTTCTTTTGAAAATTAATACCGTGTTCATAGTTATGGATATTTATTGCATAAAAATACAATTATGGCACAAGGCCGAAAAAGGTGAGGGGTTGAGGCTGGTCTTCACTAACTATCATATACCTAGCTAATCCGATTCACGGCCCATTCCCTCATTACAATTTGCCCGTTCACCATAAAAACTCGTCCGTCACCAATCAATCCTCCATATACCATAATGCCACATCCTCTCAAGGGGAACCTACGAAATGCGCCCCATGCCATAAAAAAATTTAATGATAATAAACTATATATATATATATATATATATATATATATATATATATATATATATATATATATAATTCTAAAGATGAATATTGAGAGAAGGAAATGGACACAAAACAAACTAAACATGAACACAAAGTAAGTTAAGGATTATGACGTCAGTTTCTTTTGAAAATTAATACCGTGTTCATAGTTATGTGTTAAAGTAAGGATCAAGAAAGATTAAGGTAAGGATTAAATTTTATATTTATTAAAATGTGACTATGTAGACATGAAGAAAGAAGATAATTATTAGAGATTGAAATAAATCAAGAGAAAAGGATGTTGATTCACGGCGAGAAAGAAGCAAAAATGATTAAGACTCTAGAGAGAAAGAGCAAGAAAAATCAGGAGATAGATGATAAATTTGAGAAAGAGAGAGAGAGAGAGAAGGAGAGCGTAAGAGAGAGAGGGGGGGTTATCAGAAGACGGATATGAAACCGAGAAAGATAGAAAAAAGGAAAAGTCAAGAGACAGACAAAAAAATACGAGAGAGAGAGAGAGAGAGAGAGAGAAGGAAAGTGAGAAAAGACAGAGAGAGAGAGAGAGAAGGAAAGTGAGAAAAGACAGAGAGAGATAAGAATCCGAGAAAGAAAGAAATAGAGAGAAAAACGAGAGGTTAACAATCTGACAGAGAGAAAGAAATCGAGAAACGTATCTAGAATTCAAGAAATAACGTGACAGAAAGAAAACGAAATCAAATGGCAAATAAAAAATCCGTGAAAGACAAAGACGGCGACAGTTTAAGAATGCGCGCGCGAAAAAGAAATGAACTGATTGATAAAAAAAAACGAGAAACAGAGTGATAGAGACATAGAGAAAGAAACAGAGAGATAGACAGAGAGACAGAGAGAGAGAAAATGAAAGTGAGAAAAGAGTAATTTAATAAATCACTTAATCCCCTCTGGATGTTAAATAAATATAAGCAATTAATATTTTCGTTTGTTTTATTACCCACGGGTTTATTAATACTTCAATAGACTTTATTGATTTCGCTACTTATATATTTATCTATATCTTTTATATATGAAGGTGTGCTGAAAATTTCTTTGTTCTGATATTTCCCAAAATACCGAACAGGAAATTTCTGGGAAATTTAAGTGTCAGTGCTCTAGCGTGAGAAGTGGGGAGGCTCCTAGCCTAACTAGAATTGGTGTCTTTTCTGGTTGAATTACAGGTGGATTGAGATTTCGACTATCTTATGGGTCTTTTCACCGTGTTACGCTCGCCCTTCTCTTTTTTAACATTTTTTCTTCTCATCCTCCTCCTGCATCCCGTTTTTAAAGAAGCCGACCGATATGGTGCTATCTCCTACACATCTATATCTGTGTTCAGCAGATGATGTTGCTGTTGTTAATATTGCTGATGTTTCTTCTTTTTTTTTTTGCTGTTGCTGCGTTTGTTGTTGCTCTTGCTGTTGTTTTCTTGATGTTGTTGCTGATTTTGTTGTTGCTGGAGCTTTGTTTTTTTTTGTTTGTTTATTTGCTGCTGGTCTTCTTGCTTTGACTGCACCTGGTGTTGCTATGTGACATCTAGCTGTAGGAGAGGTTGCCACCATTTTTCCTCTCCTCAGGGCCTCCATCCAACCACTGAGGCCATCAAGTGTCTTCCCCTGACTTTTTATTTCCCGCTGTTTCTGCTGTTGTTTGACGAGTTTGTAGCGCCGTGTTCTAACCAGGATACGCCTTAGACAGGTAGCCTGTGGTGCCACACGACCAGCAGTGGGATCTAAGGCCCTCCACTATAACCAACATTCTTTTATTTCGGAACATCAGGGTGTCAGGGATGTCCAGGATGACAAAGTCAACGGTGGCAATGCTCGCTTTATTTATTATCGGAGAAATATCCCCGGCCTGTCCATATTTAGCGAAAAAGAGTCCCATCCAACCTTCAGTGATATCCGTAGGCACCACATACGTTCACACTTGTCTTTCGGGTGTCCATATACTCTGTTTGAAGACCTACAGTTTTCGCCATTGAGATGCTTCCTTGTTGTTTCCCAAGTGGCTCACATCTGTTTTGAGCCAGTTTTCGGCCGAAGCTGTTTTAGTCATATTCGGCTATTTTAATTACTAGTTCCGCTGATTCAAAGAGAAACAAGATTTTAATAAAAATTTAGAATGTTCTAACAAGAAGGAAAGATAATTAAAAAAAGACTCTCGTCTTTCCTCTTAATAATAACATGAGCATTTAGACGATAAAATTTTGTTTTCGGCAAGGTTGGCGTTTTTTCATGAAGCTATGCTCTGTTTTTAGCGATTTCGTGGAGGTACCTACTTTAAATGAAGCAATTATTTACCCACCAGATAATTCCCAATTTGAATGAAACTAACATTCCGCCCACGAGCAAACGCTTGGTTTATATGAAATAATTATTCATGTGGGAGCCAGTAATTGCATTAAACAAAACGATCATTTATCCAAAAACGAACGGCCAACTCAAACGAAAAAATTATTTATCTACAAGTAAACTTATGTTTAACGGCTAATTAAACCGAAACAAGTATCACAATGTATACAGCTGGTGATAGGCATATATATATATATATATATATATATATATATATATATATATATATATATAAGTAATCATACAATGAATCAATTAGTAATATTAATGTAATTAATGGCGAATTATCTTCACTAACAGACTTAATATAAGCATTAATTTAGTAACACTCCATTGAATGAATCGATCCTCATGTATAAAAATGTCAGATTGATCGGCTGTATTTTTTAGAAGAGTAAGTACTTTCGAAAGCTTCATGTTCTCATCGGCAGGCTGTAATTTTTTTTTTCATTTAGACATAAAACTTGAAGATGAAATAAATGTATTGTAGACAGACAGTTATATATATATATATATATAATACATATATGATCGGCATTTTTTTTTAATACAGATTTCATTTAAGACAACTAAGATAATTTTTTATTACATTTTTCATGCATTCGTGATTTTGTCTGGACATTGAGTTGAGTATTAAGAATACTGAACAAATGAGCTGCATATGCAAACGATGCCCTCTCTTCTATTTTATGTTTAAGGGAAAACATATATGTCCAATTAATTAGGGAGAGAAAAATTAGTAATGATTCGAAAGAGAAAAGAGCAAGCAGAAGGACAGTAGACAGCGATTGACACTGCTTTTAAAATCTTGTAAATTGATGTTGGCTGGAAAACATGAGACCGGAAGAGAATTCCACAGACGAAAATTGCGAGAAAAGAAACTGTTAACATAGAACTTACGACTTCCGGTCAGCTCAACTGTTAAGTGATGAGATCTTGATGCCAGTCTAATACTGCGCTTAAATTCATGAAGTCTAGGTACCATAGGAAAGAGTTTATCCGAAAAATTATCATGAAAGTATTTATAGAAAAGGCAAAGAACTGCCAGATTGCTGATTCTTCTTTGGATCTTATGGAAGAGCTCCAAGAAAATACCAGACGTATCGGAACATATATGACAGAAATATTTTAAGCATGAAGCAATGGTAGACTTATAGAAATGTAAGATAGATTCTAGAGAGAAAATTTGTCAAGCAGGATACAATCTTCTTGGCAACTGGCCTAGCAATGGTTTCAATAGAGTATTTCTATTTCTTGTAAGCTGAGAACCTTATCCGAGAAAGCTCAAGAAGTCATTTTCCAGGGGGTTAGTATCAGCGATGATGATGGAAGGCAGAATGGAGTCTCTCAACTGATTAATGGAGAGAAGTTTAGTTTTGGAGCCGTTAAAATTAACAAGCTATCATTTGCCCCAATTAACAATGGACTGGAGATCATTTAAGACATCGGCAGCCATTTTGTCCTAGTCATACTGATCAGCCTTACCATCGATGCAGGGGTAAATGTGTGTGTAATCAGCGTAAATGCCAAGATGTGAGCTGATGTCATAGGAAAGGTCATTAATGAAAAATCAAAATCAGAGCAGAACCAAAAATGGAGCCCTGGAGGAGACCCGAGATAGTACGAAAGTACGAGTGACTGTTCAGGATAACTTTCATTTCGCAAATTGATAGGAAAGGCTGGATCAGTTCAAAAATGCGCCCAGAGACACCACAACTTTTCAGATTGTAGAGAAAACTTGCTTTCCAAACCCTGTCAAAATTAGCGTATGTACTGCTGACTCTGGCTACGCCGTTGATGAAACAATATATTCCTGTAAACGCCTGCTCGGGGATATTTGTGTTTGTTTAACACCCACAGAGCCCAACTATGGTTTATGGTGCAACTATGCTGAGCGGACCTAAGTTACAGTTTATGAGAGAGAGCGCGTTATCAAGCGTGATCATTAATGTGAACAAGGCCAGCAAACTCAAACCCTTAGTCACGATGACTAGTGACTTCGTGCAGGCACAACCAATGACATCTCCCAATAGCTCCGTCTACCCAATTTCACTCTCAAAGTTTGGGTCAACACGTGGTAGGTTTTTCAGTCAATTTCCAAAGGTGACGCCGCACGCTGGGAACGTCTACCACGTCCAGACCAATAACATCAAGAAATCACATTCCTGACTAATCTACTCGGCTCTCATGGTCAGAAAGTGAATGTTCTAACCACTCCACCAGACGCAAATATATATATATATATATATATATATATATATATATATATATATATATATATATATATATATATATATAGCAGCTATACTCGTCCGGCAAAACCTTAGGTGTTTTAAATGAACAAACCAATACCTAAGGGGAAAAAAAGGATAAAAAAGAAAGAACTAAGACCATGTCCTTCCGGCGAAAATAATCGTCTAGAATTAAAGTCCAGATTCAATAGAAATAAAAACTCCGACACAAGTAAAGTAAAAATAACTAAGCAAAGTGCTCAGTACGCTAAGTAGATCAAGCTAAGTAAGTAAACCTAAACAGCCAGACTAACCTACCTAGGTTTCACCTACGCAGATCGTCAGGGTAAACTGGCTAAAGAGGTGGGATAAGAACAGAGAATATACAGCCTACAGCACAAAAACATGACCATGTGACCAAAAAAAAAAACACTAAAAAAACAAAAAAAAACAACAACACAACAACGTGGTTGGTGGTAAACCTATTTATTCAAAAACGTATATGCATATATATATATATATATATATATATATATATATATATATATATATATATATAAACACTAATAATCCTATAAATATACGCAGCTATACCTTAGGTGTTTTAGCTTGTAAATGAACAAACCAATACCCAAGGGGAAAAAAAGGAGAAAAAAAGAAAGAACTAAGAAAATATACTTCCGTTGAAAATAATCGTCTAGAATCTAAGTTCAGAGTTCAAAGAAAAAAAAACCTCCGACATGAGTAAAGTAAAATAACTAAGCAAAGTGCTCAATATGCTAAGTAGAGCAAACTAAATAAACCTAAAGAGCCAGACAAACCTACCTAGGTTTTACCTACGCGGATCCTCAGGGTAAAGTGGCTAAAGAGGTGCTATAAGAACAGAGAATATAAAGCCTACAACAGAAAACCATGACCATGTGACTAAAAAAAAAGCAAAAAAGCAAACAAACAAACACAACAACGAGGGGGGGCAAAATGTTTATTCATAAATGTAAAAAAAAAAAAAAAACAAGAGAAGAAAAACGAACCTATTGTAGTAACCAGCGTTTTCTATGTCTACACTTACTTAAAATTTCGGTATACATACTTTAACATTTAGTATATATATATATATATATATATATATATATATATATATATATATATATATATATATATATATATATATATATTTAAACCTGAGTGCTCAATTTCAGAAATAGAGAATTTCATTTTTTTTTCCAAAAGTCCACACAAGAGCTACTCAAGTTAAAGGGCTACTGACTAAGTTTTGTGCTATGGACGAAAGAATAAGTAGCAATAGTTGTAGATTATAATAATATGACTGATAGTTAAAGTTTGACTCTAGTCTTGAAGAAGTTAAGATTGTAGCCTTCGGAGAAATCACGAGGGCGTCTGCTTCACAAAAATCGTCGCTCTTAGGAGTAATGTTTCGGAGTGGGAAATGGATAAGTAACGTACAAAATGGACCTGTAGTTTAAGTCTGAGCTGGTGTCACGAAAGAATGGAGATCATATGAACAGTTGCCGAGGAGTAGAGATAAGCTTACGGCGTTGAAACTATGCAAGTGATGCCTTACATTGGAGGAAAAAAGACAATTCCCCCAAGGTCATGTAAACTATATTCATCGCTGTCAAGCAAGGGAAACGATGATTGTGCATCTCAAGCCCCAAAATGGCATTAATTTCTGTCTGGTCTAACAGTTGCATATATAAAACATTGTAGATGAAGTCATTTACTTTCAGGAGCCACCATTTTTCTAATATCTTTAGAAATAGATCTGAAATATGTTCAAATGTTCTCTAGAGATGAGCGATTTCGACAATTTTATTAGCTATTACTACGGATGTTAAGTTTTTAACTGAATATGTTGAGATTTATGTATATGTATTTATAGTCATAATAATTTGTTTCATTTATTGCTTCCTCACATAAGCACGTTAATGGAAGCATTAAGAATAAAAAAGAAAATAAAATGCTATATCAACTATAAAAACGACCACAACCGTGTTTGGAATATAAAAAAAATACATACCAATCACCACACATACACATCTATGAAAATCTAAATAAAGATAAATGTATTCTTGGTAAGGGCAACATCGATGTTTCCAGTGATTTTAGCAAGAGTAGATTTTATGTATCATGAGGACGAAAGTATGGAGCACTCCATGAAGATCTCACTAATTACTCGATTGCAATAGATTAAGAAAGTTACTTGTTAACCATTACACCACGACGAAGGGCTCAGTGGTAGAGATTATAAAGCATAATTTTCTGTCGGGCAGCTTGGCAATATTTGTTAATCATTTTTATATTACTTGTAATTACCGTAATTCCCCATGTATAATAAGTCTTCATCCATAATACTCACCGGAATATTTGTGCTGAAAATATGAGAAAATGTTTCTATTCACGGATAATACGCAAAGCTATTTTTGCTAATCAAACCCTATAAATCATAACTCTCCAATTGCATTACAGTCACCTTTTTTACTCTTATTAAAAATGGTTTTAAACAGAGAATTGTATTATTCTAATTTAGTTGTATGATAATTCTTATTATCTTTTACATTTGTAAGTATTGTTAGGTACATATAATTGTATTTGGCATCCTGACGGGGTCACAACCACCTAATTTTTGTCAAATTGTCGTGTATTTGTGGTGAGTAGTCATCTCGCAACTGAAATCGACCTATGAAACGGCAACTTTTTCAAAGACTTTTTGTAGTTGTGCACAATACGCACCCCTAATTTTGCTATTTTTTTTAGAAAAATGCGTGTTATACATGAGAAATTACGGTACTGTTTACCACAGGTGTCTGTGTGGAGACAAGTGTATCTTTTGGAAATGTACTTTGTCTTTTGAGTGATTTAAAACATTTAAAAAATATAGGTAATCTCCATTGTGTCTATGCAAAGGAACTTTTTTTCCCTTCTGCTTTCATGGGAAATCAACTTTGAATTTTGTTTTATTAATCAATATTGATTGTTGAAAAGCGTGTAGCACTGTTACTTTAATCATTGAAATTGTCTGCTGGTCAAGGTTTCATATTACCTGAAATTGCGTCGACAAGATTTGTAAATTGAATCGGCTACATCGATCAAATAAATTTTCAGTAGAAATAGTCTTTTCCGATTTGGTAATTATGTCTGTTCATATGTTGCAACGAACAGTGCTAAGAATGCCAACCGTGCACAGGTTAAAGTTCAACAGTTACACATGCGCAGTTCGAGATGTAGATACGATTTTCAGATGTCATACATATTCAAGTTATATAAGGAATTAACATCATTAAAAGACACTTGTAACCTAATTATGATACGCCGATCATGTCTATTGATTACCCTTGATAGGAAGAAACAGGCAGTTATTGTGGAGAACGTTTAAGCAGCAATGCTTTATAAGATTAAAAAAGACGTTGGATAAATGGAAATTCAATTACAAGATTCATAATAAAATGATTGTTTCTTATGCGTATGGGAGACAATCCCAACAAATAAAACAATTGGGAGACAATGGTTTTCTGCCTTACGTCTAGCTGCGTCAGTCATCTGACTAGGGAAGGTTATACTTGAAAACGTGTCTCTAGTGACGACACTTGGTATACTAATATTTTTGTTAGAAATAAAAGAAAAAGAAAGGGAAGAGGAACAGAGATATATAGATGTAAACAGACATATAGATAAGAACAGACAGAAAAAACAGGCAGTCATGTATAGATATACATAGACAGATATGAATAGAATACTATTTACATTATTTAGACATTTTCCTCGTAGTTGTTGCCACATTTATCACAAGGTTTTGGGCGTTGTACGCTCCATACTTCTTCAGGTAGTTTGGAATGTCAAACGGAACCCTTTATTTCGCTCGCTGGTGTAGACTGTTCTAGTTCCAGGTGCCATGTTTAGTTATCAGTTATCTCCTGCTAATTAATCTCTCCAGGTCCTCCACTGCCTTAGCCAGGTATTGACTCACAATTCGTTGGGTCCTGTCATTGATAAATATGGCAACAAAGATGAGGACAATAGCCCGAATAATGTAAATAGGGTACATAATATCTCATCTCAGAAATACAAACAGTTAAAGATCTGAAGTACTAAGAGACATATCTAGATTCGAAAATGCTTAGAGTGAGAGGTTAACGGAGATCTGGACACTGAAACAGATTTACTAGATACATCTGTAGAGAATGGGACAGACAGATTAACAGATGGATGAAATCTGTAAAGAATAAGACTTTGTGTCACATTCAATCTAAGCTTAAAAAATTGTTGGTCCGCCTCGACATAGTATATTAGCAACTTGTTTCGCTAGAACAATTACGACTGAGTAGTGAGTTCGATCCTACCTGGATCACCATACTTTTTGAAAAACACTATCTCTCTCTCTCTCTCTCTCTCTCTCTCTCTCTCTCTCTATATATATATATATATATATATATATATATATATATATATATATATATATATATATATATATATATATATAGTCAATTGTTCTAGCGAAACAAGTTGCTAACTTATATATATATATATATATATATTTGTCTTTATATATATATATATATATTTGTCTTTTATTATATATATATATATATATATATATATATTTTTTCTTAAAATAATTGTCGGAGTTTATCCATTTCATAATGTGTGACGTCATTTGTTTACATTTAATACGCCATGAGCAGATATGAATGTACTTAAGGGATTCATGGATGATTGAAGTTTAACTACAGTAAATTCGACCTTGCTAACCGAACATTCCTCTGTGCCAAAATTGGTAAAGGCACGTCAAGCTAAATGACTGATCCGTATGTGATATGAATTCGAATCCTGTCGGAGGACGAATATTTTCTGTGAAAATTTCTCGGACATTCAGACCGGTAAATGTTGTTTAATGCTGTTTTTTATAAACAGAGTAGTTACTAAATATTTGTATCTATAAAAGAATGTATAAACATAAAATGTAAATATATATATATATATATATATATATATATATATATATATATATATATATATATATAGTGGAATAGGATTGAGGAATCGGAGAGCCGATTTCGAATTCCAGTCGAAACCATTAAATTCACTTACGTGCTAATACCCTTGGCAAAGGTGTATATCCTCTTCTTGTCCCTCCATGGAATAAATAGCAGGAAATTCTGGGTTCTATAGCCTTGGATGGCAACCGGTCTAGGAGAAGGATAACTTTAAATTCAAAACCTGCGGAGGGTCGTTTGGGGAACTTGTGGCACTGAATTTTTCCGCTTTGATATAAATTAATTTTCAATTTGAACATGACACCTATTCAAAATATAGAAGGGGAAAACCAGAAGACGGAAGTCACATCGCCACGATCATCGAGTAATATTGAAATGGATCATGTTCTCCACAAATTAAAACAGTGAAATAAAATCAATCATCATTTTCTTATAAAAAAAAAAAATGTGCGACCGCACAAGGCGCAGGTAATTCGGTTAGTATATATATATATATATATATATATATATATATATATATATATTTTTGAAGCATGAAAAAATTCAAAGCAACGACAAACTCCTGTATACGAGACGCGGAAGCGAAAAATCGCATCGCAGCTCGTGACTTCACACATGACAACGCAAGAGTGAAAACGAGAAGTATTAAGTATGGGAAGCCGTTGGTATAAACCAATGGCGTCTGTTATCAATTATCGGCATTTAAGAATATTTGTGGAGATTTCATAGTTTATTTTGTTCAGGTCAGGATTCAACTGTTTTATGTATATAGCTTCAAGAATGTTTAGTTTTTGTTTATAGTTTTCATGTTTAAGTATAGTTGTGGTTTCAACGACGATTCTCCACAGGTAATAAATCCGTTGGTAAATAATCCGGGTAGTAATAGAACGTACAGAACGGCTTGAAATAGACGATCTCTATGTTCAGGTAATTTTTTGTTCTTTTGCCCTAAGACCCCCCCCCACACACATATATATATATATATATATATATATATATATATATATATATATATATATATATATATATATATATATACAGACTTAGATGGATAGAAAGAAACGCGTATACATATGGATAAACTGTAATCTTGATTTCTTATATTGAACACCTGCATCTGCGGACAAATTTAAGTATCTGATTTTTTAAAGACGGGGCGAGACGATTATTTATTTATTTATTTTAAGCAACGTCTACCCTCGGTATAGTTATACCAACTATTCCTCTCATGAAATAGTCGGTAAGTTTTCTTCAACACCCTAAGTACGGCTACGTTCATTAAAAGGCACACCGTTTTATTTCTTAAAATTTAAAAAAAAAAGAAAGAAATATTTTAAAAATAGTAAATTCAAGTGGGTGCTTTTGTTCCAAACATTCCTTCTCTTATAACGGAAGTACGTGCTATTATCTTAAACACCAAGTTGAAAAAAGAGACGAATAATGAAGACAGTCGGCCAATATTATAATGTTTAATTTTTAATCTCTGGGCAATAAACTATTAAATATTCGCAATAGGAAATAAGTTTTAGGCAAATTGAGTTGGATGAAAGATTTCTACGAGATATAATATAAAATCTCTGGCTGACTAGTCGACCTAAGAATTAATGGAATAAGTCTCCATTTATTTACAACCATGCTGTATCTTTCTCACAGGTAAAATATCGCAAGTCTATCGACAATTTATCGTTATCTTCATGCTAAATATACAGTCGAGCTCCATTCCTTCGTGCCACTAGCTGAGTCTTTTGCCGTCAAGACACGCCTTGATACGGCCGTAGATTTGAAAGGACCTCATTCCTCTTTTGGTAAGAAAGAAGTTCCACCAAAAATACTAATCCCTCTATTTTCTGGAACGGCTTCTAACGAGAATACTTCTCGAAACACCACAAACTTGATCTATTCGTGTCTAAGCTCAACCTTTGTCAATCAGGGATATCGCTTTGTCCACCGGGATTGGATTAACATTTTATATCTGCCCATTTTCTTTTAAGTCTCTCAATAGTGTTTTCTGTCTTCGAACGGAGTGCAACTTAAAAAAAAGTGATGCCTGATCTCGGGGAGCAGCTTTCAGAAGCAATACTCCCTTCATTGTACTAAACTCTGAGGGATCCATAGTTATACATGGTCCGAGTAAACGCGGTCGGGCACACCACATTAAACCTATCTTGTGTCACTTCCTACCAGCGTGAGATGGCAAGTAAATACAATCAGCTATATCGTCTCAATCTTCAGTTAATATAATTCAACTCCTCCAGCCAGCTTCTACTTTGATTGGCTCTTGCGTTTTGCATTTGGTGATAATTCCTAAAAAAAACATTTTTTTTAAGTCAGATATCCAAACACTACTACAAATATCGTCCAGTGTAATAACTGTAGTGTACACATAAATACAACTAAGAATCAAGATCATATTCGGCAGAATGATCAAACGGGTACCAATATCCAATGTAGATAAAAACAGGTATAGTTTATCAACCGTCACTTATATTTCATGATCTCCCCAATTTTCTAAATGTCTGATTCTTGTTAGAGAAACTTGTGTATCTACTTCGATAATATTTACCCAGTCGATGAGATTACGAATATTTTTTTTTATCTTGTCCAACTTTTTAATATTTTAATAAAAGAGTTACGTAGATATGACATTTTATATTGCCAAGTCGAGTAGTTTATTATTAAATTCATTTCCTGTCAGTAATATCAGATGGATTCCAATAAAGATAAAGTAACAGGAATGGCCCTCAGTTCATTTCTTAATATTCCTTTCTTCCACATTATGTTATGTCCCTCTAGGATTATAAGTCTCCACAACTTTATTTTCCTTTGCATTGCTATAATAGTTTTGGGGAAAAAGGGTGAAGTGTTTACCCAGTTGTCTTCTCCGATGTTTTAAATTCCGACTTGTCCTTATCTTAGACGTTTTTGCTATCCAAGTCACCGAGCTATCCCTAGATATAGTATTTAATCTCTTGATGGAAGATGTTAAATGGAGTGTCGCTTTACTCAAGGCTTTGGAGCAAACATATACGTTTTAAGCCAAAATTTGACCGTGGTTCGTCGATTCCATTTTCATTGGTTACATCTCATCGGATATTCTTCTTCTTCTTCTTCTTCGATTCTTCTTCTTCTTCTTCTTCGATTCTTCTTCGATTCTTCTTCTTCGATTCTTCTTTTTCTTATTCTCTTGTTCTTCTTCTTCTTCTTCTTTGCTCTGCGTCTCTTCAGGACATATTCGATGGTGGCTGTCCACAACTTCCTCTATCGTAGATCTGAGATTTTCTTCCTTTGCCTCCGATTCCGCCATCTATTCACATAAGCTTACTATGTAGTTGGCTTGCCGTTTTCCCCTGTCTCTCTTGCCATAAATATGTCCCGTGACAGTTAAATTTTCCAACCAGACTTTCTTCATTATGTGTCCACGAGAATTGCAACTGTTTTTCTTTTCCTGTTCTGAGTATATATTCTTTCTCATGCCTTCTTTTTTAAGACTTTCTTTTTGCTTTACCTCTCGCACTATGGAAGTTTTCGCATCCTTCTGTAGAACAAAATTTTTCTATTTTTTTTTCTCCGTGTAGAGTTTATCTAACATTCACTTCCATATAAGATGGATAACACAAAGCAATCCTTCACTTTTTTCTTTGTTTCTAACTGTTTTTACCAAGTAAATGGTTAAAGAAATAACAAAACAAGAAGAGTATTACAAGACGA